CTGCCCCTTGAGGTGTACCCCGCGTGCCTAATAAGTACGGGCCGTGTTCGGTAGAATTAACGCGAATGAAGGCGGTGCGATGTGATAGAAAGGCGCGAATGTAGTTGAAAGTCTTCTGCCCGCAGTTTGTGGTAGACAGGTTAGTGAGTATAGTGCTGTGTTTGACGTTGTCGAACGCCCCGCGGAGATCGAGAGCGAGCACGGCTTTATCGTTATGGCGCATAGTAGTCGGCTCTATGATATCGTGTTGAAGCTGGAGCAGGACGTCCTGCGCCGACAGATGCGGGCGAAAGCCAAACATCGTGTCGGCAAAGGTGCTCCTGGCCTCCAAGTAGGCCGAAAGGCGTTCGCGAACCATGGTTTCCATGAGTTTGCCTGCGCAAGACGTAAGTGAGATGGGTCTCAGTGCCTCAATACTAACGGACTTTGCCGATTTGGGAATGAATGTCACAACCGATGTGGTCCATTCCGTTGGAAGCGGAGAACCGTCCCATATCAAATTTATAAGCTGGAGTAGCGAGAGGTGTGCTTGGTCGGGAAGATTTGCCAGGAGCGATACTGTGATTCCGTCGCGTCCAGGGTCCGTGCCCCGTCGCATTTTCGTGAGTGCAAATCGTAAATCAGAAAGCGTGTATGGGGCGTCGAGGTCGGTGTTAGGGGCGCCGGAATACGTATATGCTGGGCCTGCGGGATCAATTGTGCGGCAGATGTAGCGGTCACAAAGTTCTCGCGCGAATTCATCCGTAGTGCCCTGAAATGCATGCAGAACACGGTGGAGCTGGCGTTGCGTTTCTCCCCTGGTGGTGGAGGGATCGAGAAGGCTTCTAAAGAGTCGCCACGCACTCTTAGAGCTCATCTGGTTTGCAGCCTTTAAACAGGTGTCTGCCCAGTTAGCATCGGAAAGTTGTGCGGAGTATGCGGCCGCCTCTGCAGTGAGCGCCTCAATGCGAGCGCGAAGTTTCCGATTAAGTTTGTTGCGTTTCCAGCGCCTTATGAGCCCGCGGCGAGCGTGCCAAAGATGTAGGAGGTGTGGATCGACTGCAGGAGTCAAATTAGAGGTTGCAAGGGTGCGAGTGTTCGCTTGTTTCTTATGAAGAGCATATGATGCCCACGCTGCATATTTGATCGAGGAGAGGCCGGCGGGGAATGGTTGCATTCTGAACTGAGTCCAATCGGTGAGACGGGCTTGGCCCCAGTGTTGGCGCATTTTCTGCCGCGGTGTGAACGAAATGCGGAGTAAAAAGTGATCGCTGCCTAGGTTTTCGCCTAAATTTTCCCATGTAGCATCGCGGATGTGACGGGTGAGGGAGAGGTCGGGGCATGTGTCTCGCGTGACCGAGTTGCCGGAATGTGTGGGTTGTGCCGGATCGGTAAGAAGCGTCAGGCTCAGCGAGGAAATGAGCTCCTTGAGCTCTCTGCCCCGGGCCTTCTCGTAGTGGTAACCCCAGTGAGGGCTGGGGGCATTAAAGTCCCCGACAATCACCAGTGGTTGTCGGGCCGCTATACGCAGTGCCCGATGGAAGAGATGCGCAAACGAAGCCCTCGCAAGGCGAGGGGGACAGTACACGTTTAAGATATGTATTGATGGTTGGCCCCTCCGCTGAGACAGCACTGATATCATGCAGTAGTCGTAAGGAAGATCCAGATCGAGGTCGATCTGTATCGCCGTGTAAACTTTATGCACGAGGAGGCATGTGGTGGTGCCGCCTACATAGGAGCAGTATCCAGAAAGAGATGGAGCTGGGCCAGATTCTTGGAGCGCCAAGACGGCTGGCTGAGAGCCAAGTGAGCTGAGGAAAAGGGAAAGATGTGAACGCTTTCGCCTGTTCCCGAAGCCTCCAGGGTTCCACTGTATGATCTCGAATTTAGACGCAATGTTTGAACGGGACGTACGATTGGTAGCCATCGTGACTGTCCTAGGTTTTATATTTGGTCCTCCATGTCCCGCTCAGAATCCTCAGAGGCAGGGAGGGGCACGGAGGCCGGATTGTCCGACGGCGGGGTGGTGGTAGCCACCTTACGACGACGCCGTGGAGCTGTACCCTCACTGCTCACCGAGCAGGAGCGGGAACGCGATGCCTTGGGTTGAAACTAGGTGATTGCCCAGGCTTGAATAGCCTGGGTAACCTCTACTACTATGCGTTGGACCGAGAAGCTGGTGAGGAGGTGATTAATCGAAGCTTCGACGCGCGTGAGGCGTTCCTCTACGCGCGGGGTGTGCTCTTCGCTAGGGAGAGTTTGGTTAGCGGGCAAGAGAACCTGAGGTGCCCCAGGAGCCTCAAGAGCTTCTGGAGTAGATGTGGCACCGGTTCCGAGTGCTGGAGTACACATGGCTGCTTGAACCGGCGGTTTAATGGGAGTGGACTTAGCGCGAGGACTAAGCTTGGACGTAGCTGGCGTAGCCGCCTGGACAGAGGAGGCAATACCGGATGACCTTGCAGTACACTGTTGTTGGGGTTGAAGTCGCTTATTTAAGAGTTCGAGTTGTTTAGTTAAAAGATAATTTTGCTTTTGAAGTGCCGCAACTTGCTGGCGAAGGGCCGCAAGTTCGGGAGAAGGAGGATCGACAGAAGGGGGTGAGAGAGGCTTAGAAGCAGCTTTCCCTGCCCAACTGCTCACCTGAGGTACCCCCGCTGGTGCTTCGAGCGGTGGGAATGCTTGAGAGTCGGCGTGGTGGAGTGGTGGAGCCGAATGATGCAGGTTTGTGCTGCTGTCTGGCTCTGACGAACATGAGGTGGTCCCTCGAGGAGATGTTGAGGGCTGATTGCGTTTCCGATATTTTCGGTATTTTGCCGTGCAGCCACTGGTCCCAGTCTCATGGGCGCCGTGGCAGAGGAGGCACTTGGGGTGGCAGTCGTGGGCATTGAGACCTGCAGGTGCGGGGGTTCCACATTTGGCACAATGGGTTGGAGCGGCGTGAGGGCACTGAGGTGGTCGATGACCGATGGTACCGCACTTGGTGCATACAGGGACCGTTTTCTTATAGGCGCGGATATACGTCGCCACGCAGTGGTAGAAGAGGAAGCGGGGTAACTTCGTGCCCTCGAAAGTCACCACCGCCGCCGCGGAATCTCCGAGTTTGCGGACCGCAAGGATAGTACCTTGAGGCCAATAGAGGTCAGACTTTATCTTTTCCGGGCTTTCAGCAGGGTTTACATTGATGACGCCCTTGCATGTATCCCCTGGTGCCTTGGCGTGGCCTCGAACGGGCAGCTGCTGATCCCCCACTTGCAGCTGGAAGTCCCCGAGGAGTCGCTGTGCCATAGGCAAAATGGTGGTGCTACAGACCAAGATGTTCTATTCCCAGATTGGCCACACTTGAATTTGCGTGGTAGTCCGGTCACCGAGGTAGCTGCGGATGGCGTCGCCCGCGTGATCGGCCGGGACAAATGTGCGTAGCTCGCAGGGAACGCGAGGTTTGACTACTACGATGTAGTCGTCGCGAGAGAGGCGAGGAGTTTGACGCGGACGCCACTTGCGTTGCTTCGCTGGCTGCGAGGACGGAGCAGAGGTAGGCACACCGCCGGAGGGATGGCGCGCCGGCGTTCCTTGCAAGGCTGGGGAATGGTGGCCCGCCGTGGCGTCTCGTTGTTGTTGAGACGCAGACTTCGATTTCGCTTGCTTGCGTTGCCACAGTTTCACCATGACGTCGAGGTATTCATCTTCTGATGGCATAGTGTTTTCGGAGGATGAAATCTCCATGGACAGCATTTGGCTTGAGGTAGGATCATAGCCCGTAACCACGTTAGCGGCCGCCATCGCCGGGCTGAGAGCCCTTAGCGAGGCGGCGTTGTAGCCGGGAGTAAAGGACGTCCCTCAAGTTGTCAAAACTGGACCCACCTGGACGAAGGTGTTGTCTAGGCGAAGCGGAGAACTTGGCGGTGACGATAAATCCAAGTTTCAGGGGTACCAAGGTGAATGTCCGCAGAAATAGCAGAAAATCTACGGAGGCGATGTGGAGTGCGTCCGTCACCATCGAGCGCTCGCAGCGCCCCCCGAGTGTCTGTAGAGACTACGCCGACACCGCCGCCCTCGCACCACTTGTCATAGCACGGTCCCTGCGACTGTCGCCGTCTGGTGGCCATTGGTGGAAGGCATCATTCTCCGTGCCACCGAGGCGCCCACGGCCGATACACAGGTAAGTATATTCTAGGCACTATACCTAACGTTTTTAGATAATAAAAACGTTCACTATACCCAAGGAGTCCGCGCCTCGAGAGGAAAGATGGTTGTCGCGATCGACTGCAAACAAACGAGCACTGCGAGCGGTCCCACACAACGGCATCTGACCAATACTGACGCGCGCGGCGCCGGCCTTGGAGGGGTCGGAGGAGAAGGAAAATAGAATGGGTGCGAGTATCACCACATACGTAGCTACTTTGCGAAATTTTAGGGGCTTCAGCGTTGGGCACGCTGAAGGTCGTCGCCTCCACGGAGCGCGCTCTCTCCCACGCGCGCGCTTATCAGACCCGTAATTCGGGAGTGAACGAAGGTAACTTTTCACGCTGCTACAGCCGCGTTTATGAAAGCAGCGCGCTTAGTTGTTCGCTCTTGTCCTCTGTATACGCGTGCGCTCGTTTCGTGCGTCGTTCTTTCTGTTTGAACAGCGCCCTTTAAGTGTCGAACTGTGACAGTTGTTGATCGGCGCTCGTGCAGTGTATTCCAATTACGTGCGTGCTTTCTGCTCGAGGTGTGCACTGCCAGTTTCGAGCTGCTTGCCGTTCCTAACGTGCCTTGGCAATTTCTTGCTGTTGCTGAAACAATGCAAAGTAAACACTCAGAGGCGTCTGTAAAGACACGTTTCACTTAACGTTATATCGATTCAAATATAGAGGGATCAGCCACAATTTTTTTTTTTCAGAACTGTTTGCACAGGCACTTAGTGGTTTTTTATTCTTTTTAATTTCCCGCTTCACTGTAAAACATCCATAGCCAAAGGAACACCATATGTAGTGACTGAAATAGTCAAAAAGTAATTGTTGACGCATTGCACACACAAATAATGAATGTAGGCTCCTTTTTATTGACCGTTATCAGTGAGAAAGGGCACCTAACAATAGCAACAAAATATTACAAAATCCTCTCATGTTTGCTTTAGCAAGAAATCATCCCCAATATGTGATGTACACACTTTGTTACATTGTAAAAGCATCGATTCATTTACAAAGCAACGCTGTTTTTTTTTTTTTGACAATGTTGAAGTAAGACAGCCTCTTTGAGATATCCAGACGCATTACATGATATGCTGTTATTAATCGATTAATATTATAAGGTAGGTTCAATTTTGCAACAAATAGCAAACTTTTTTGGAGGCTTAACAACTGTGCTCATGTACAGTCGTCTATTTCAGGTATATTTACAAGATGACTTTTGCAGCTTTATTTCAAGCAAATTCAAAAGCTGAAGTTCCATCATAAAACAAAAAATATCTGAAATCCTGCGTCAAAAGCAACAGTCCGACTGTTATGTTATATAGACAGTGCAAACTTTGAATCTTTCACTAAGTTGTTCATGTAGCAATGGGCACATGAATATGATTTCAGTCATTCTTCAGGGATTTGCCTTTCGACTCTAAATAAGGCATACGAGGCATGCTTCTATTGGAGCATGGTAATATAGTTTCTGCAACTAGTGTTTACAACAGTAAAAGATGTGCTTGCACTCATCAGGACATGCCAACATCAACTTGTGAAGACAAACTACAGAACAAATTGATGCACATAGCCCAGACTTTAAAATGACTGTCAACTCCTTCATTATTACATTGCATAGGCAATTGCACACAAGACTTTTTAAATGCAGTCACTCTTAAAAAATGAAGCTTATGCACACTGCAACCACTTATTTCACTCACCCCAGCAAACATGTCAGTGCACGGTAAATACAGTGACATATTTATTCTCAACATATTAGTATGAAAAAGCCAGTGTAAATAGAAGTAAAATATTTGTAGAAACAAGTCACACGTACAAATGTCAACAACAATAACAACCATTAAAGAAGAAACCATGAGATGCCTGCTCGAGCTAATGATTTTGCATTCTGCCACACAATGACTATGTAATCGTTTCATGCTGCATCATGACCACGCAATGATCAAAACCAGAATACGTCTCATGTGAATATAAGTTCATAATTATATGCAGCAAAACACATTTTGGACATGATGACATTTGTTGTAAAACAGCTATAGTTATTGGGAATCTCGTGCTGCCCCACAACAGCCTAAACGTGGCACCAGCTGCTTTAGGAACAGCCCAATCATGTCCATGATGTTCTGGTACTCCACCCTGTAGGAGAACACACCCTTTGAAGAGTAGTTTTTGCCTTACCACAGCCCTCATCACCAAACTTTTGTCTCTTGACAGGGACAGTATGCATAGTTCAGCATCCCTTGATTACTCAAACAAGGAAGTCAGAGAATACAATGAACACTTCATTTAACGACTGGTGTACACATGGAAACACTATACCTTTTGGAGGGCATGCAGAAAGTATACACCTTTTGGGCACATACCATGCTTTTAGGCGAATCATGATATCGCACACTGCTAGTGCACACCCCAAAGGGTGTACAATTTGTTTACACCTGTGTCTTTTACTATCTCCGACCTTCACAAGTGCCTGGAGAGCCAACAAGAAGCCCAACATGCCCAGGGGTCAGTGGTTGTGACCAAGCAAGCCATTGGGCAACGGTGCGGTTCACTTGCAGTGGTCAGAGGCCATTCGGCCCGTCCACTAACAGGTCTTGCTAGAACACAAGTCGTCACATCACATTGATTCCTCCCATTATGTTGACAGGTCGCCCCTTATACCTCTTCGAGATATCGTCTTGCACCTGGGAGACAAATAGAGAAAAATGATCCCATGGTACCTGGCTCGACAATAAAAGAAGACATTTGTATAATTCTCAACTTGAATGGGCCTGAAAAGTGTATGCTTAATCAACGCATATTGTTTGATTACCATACAAAACCTTCACGCAAGATTTTTATCCAAGTCAAACTGTCACCATATTTGCTCAAAAGTAAGACAAGTTTTTTTATAGATGTTTGCTGCCTAATGTCAACCCTCACTTTACAATCGAATACAAAAATTCAAGTGGCCTAAAAACTGCAATGATGCGCACAATTCTTTTATTTTTGCTTTATTCTTTCATTCCTTGATGCAGTGAAAAGTCACCCCTCTTGGTACAGTCAAGTTCACTTATGACAATACCAATTACCATATTTACTCGATTCTACCGCGCCCTCGATTGTAACGCGCACCCATTTTTCTCGTTGGCCCCGCACGATCACACCACTCGGGAAAACGACTCCTTTCGGGAGCGTCTTCCGTTTAAATATGAGGTACGGGGGAAGCTTGTGCCTATCTGACATGCAACGGAGCATTGCCGTCACTCCAGTTTAACCGTGGCCCGATGTCAGCACGCGAACTTGCTTTGCCCCCTTCTTCTCGACGGTTGTGGTGCCAGGCATGTCGAAGTAAAGAGGCGTCTGATCAGCATTCCCGATTTGCCCAAGCAGGTAGCCGTTGTTGTGCCGCAAGTTTAGGACGAACCTATGAAAACTGTGAAACTTTTCATCGTACTCCTCCGGAAACTTTTCGCATATGCCCGTTCGCCTTAGGAGGGAAAAGCCTTTCCTCTTCATAAAGTTAGTTAGCCAGCACCTGCTTGCTTTAGACTGGCTCCGCATTAGCCCTTTTTCTAAGGCCAACTACATAGCCTGCACTTGGAGCAGTTCTGTCGTCACGGGCCGCTGTGCCGCTCACTGCTCAATCACATACTCGCCGAGCAGCTCTTCAATTTGCGGAAACCGACCCTGCTGTGGTCCAATGAAGCCTTTGCGTGAATCTTTGCTGTCGACAATCTTCTGCTTTTGTTTCCACCAGTCCCGCACGCACGTTTCGGGAACTCTGAACGACCGCGAAGTGACCCGATTTCTGTCCGTTTCGGCACACGCGATGACTTTTCTTTTAAAAGCGGCATCGAGGTGCACTCATCAAGTTTTTGGAGTCGGCCCTTCTATGCCGTCGATGCTAATGCACTACAAGATGACGAACTCCTCAGCACACGTACGAAGTGCCGCACATGGGAAACATAGGCAGAAATGGCTGACGCGCCATGCAGATGCTCGTAGGGGGCGGCCATTTCGGAAATACCGATGGAAAGAGAATGACCGTATTCATTTTTTTTTTCGTACTCGATTCTAATGCGCATGCGATTTATGAACTCGCTTAACCAGAAAAAAGGTGCGCGTTAGATTCGAGTAGTTACGGTATAACAATATATTGAATATAACGATGAACAATGATGCCACCCCAGACTTTTGTCTGCTTTCTATGATAAAATAAACCACTTAATACGATGCTCCAGTGGCGAAATATTGAATTCAGCAATTGAATTTGGCTACAGCATCTGTCGCAAATGGCTCTTCGCACCGACGACATGCACCACACCCTCAGAAATTGTGTCGACTGCACCATTTACTAAGAAGCAAGAGAAGGAGGAGCTTTCCTTCCAAAGCAATGCCAGAAGAGGCCTGCAAAGCATTTGATGATGAAGGGGTGCCAAAGTTGTGGTCAGTGCTTAACAAACGTGTGTACGGTCCGGGTGACTTTCTTTATGCAAACAATGCTGTGGAAACATCAGAGTCTCTCAGTGATCAGCAAGTCTATGTGGGCTGCAAACAGTGGCAAGAACAACGACTCTGACGGAGCGTTTGAGCAACCTACTCAGGCAATTTTATCGCAGGAGGCCAAACAGATGATACAGTCTCTTCGGGACTTTGTTTTCAGGAAGGACTTCCCGCTCATCTACATGGCAACTACGGGCAGCACCTACATGCTCTTCAGAAAGATGTATACCAACTTCACATGAAGCCGCCTAAGGTGACTATGGCTTTGCACCAAAGAAGTAGTATTGAACCTCTTTATAGGAGACATGCTCTGGGCAGCGATTTCCGTCTTTTATATGAGATGTCTCTTATATGCAGGGTGCCAGGTATGCATTTTTTTATCAACCCATACTTTATTGTAGGCATCTATTATACCTATTTGTCTCTTATATCAGTGTCCCTTATAAAGGTGTTGGACTATATTACGTAGCTGCACTACGTTACTTGTATGCATATACAATGTTCTAATATCTCTTTTGTCTTTTTTTCTTTTTCAACCCCCTTGTAATAATTATCAGTTACTACCATTGAATTTTCTTGGCACTTGGATATCGTTATAACTGGATGCACTGTTGTTAGACTCGAGTAAACAGGGCACTATGTTGTGTAGAAAGTCATGACTCAAAGTCTTCCACAAATGTTCAGCAATTAGCATTCTGTACTATGAGTGAAAGCTATGATGCCGCTTGGCAGTTACTTGATCATCTCAAAGACGAATATACTACCTATGAGTCTGAGGCCTTCACAGAGGAAGTGCCATTAAAGCGCATCATCTGCAAAATGACTCCCTGCTCAATTTATGCAATTTTCAATAGGCACATACCAAGAGCAGCGTCTGCTATTGTAGTTAACTGACACAATCTAATATTCTCCCACAGAAGTTCCCACAATCGCTTAAATTTTTATTACTCCTGCGAGAGATGCTTCATAAATGCCCTCCGGGCTTTGTATACTGTTGCGCTTCTATAACACTGGCCATAACCATATCAGAAAAAAAAATCTATAAAAATTTGATTCAGTTGACCACCAACAGCACTTATTTTTCTACTTCTACCTCCTTTGGCACTCCAATTTGCAGATCTTGGTAAATTTGAACAAAAACAGCCCATTTTTCGCTTATTCTGAGATGAACAAGTGAAGGTGCAATACTCTGCCCTCATGTGGAGGAGGAAAGAGGGCTGACATCATAAGTTTTATTTGCAAATCATTTAATAAAATGGTGATGCAATAAAAATTTATTATGCACGTGTCAACAGTGTCAAGCAAAAGTGCTAGTGTATTTGCTGCACTGACCAGTGGCACCATCTGCTACCCTAATGCCAAAACGTGAAATTTTGCTTGTTTTGCTAGTGTAAAAAACGAGGCATCATCGTGCTATTGCACAACATAATTTTCTCGCATTGAATCACCACAGGCTTCTCTTCAGGTTTGAGAACAGGAAGAAAACTGTCTGGCGTGCATCAGGAATGTATTGTCAGGGCTGCATCAACCCTCGCATGAGCGAGTCAGGCTTCATTCTTTTGCCAAACCTCAAAAGAATCCTGATAGCTCATTGTTTAAACAGTGTTTTCATCATTCAATGGGCCGTCACAGTTTCTCTGATAGGTGTCATGGCAGCTGAATACAGGAAGCCTTTGCAGCATGGACACTGCATTCTAAACACTGTATCGACACCCAAAGAAACTATTTTGAAGAGTTTTCATTATATGCACTGACCAGATCAATATATTCTTTTTGTCACAACCAGCCTCTTCAGTGTATGCACAAAGTAGATGAATATCTGGTATGAATGAATTTATTTGGCAATAGTACAAGGGTGATTCCATGAGAGATCGACACGGGTCGAAAAGTTGATATTTTAGATTTGATTGTTTATTTTATAATTTGTGCTCATATCACCCAGTAGCCCAAAGTACACATCGTTTTTTTATTAAATGAATATATCAAGAGAGAAAAAATATTGAAGTTATTTTGCTGAGAGGGACCAATTTCGTCTCTGGTCATTTTTTAAAGTTAATGACGATATAAAAACATAAATGTTAGCTTGATGAAACTGAATTTCTTTCTAGAAAATGCATGCATATTGAAGAGTGAAGCACCATTGTTTGACGGTTCTACGCTGAAGCAAATTGTTTCGGAAAAATACCTGAACAGGTGACATTTTTAAAAAATGCTTGATTTGAGAGTGTTTTCCTCCCAAGTTAAACCAGCTAGCATTTTATAACTTGGTGACCTATTACAACATAATGTTTATAATATTGCCTGTCAATACCGTGGCTGTACCTCGAACACATAATTTTATAAATTGCCTCAAACTTTCAAATTCGTCGACAGTAAAGCCTATTGAAAAATCAATATTTAAAAAACACCATTTTCGATTTTTTTTTAAATCTGTTAAAACGTTCCTCACTTATGATAGAAAAAGAATATTCAGAAACATATTGCATTATATTATTCTCATCGACAACATTACGGGTGGAAGTTCCAGCTTTTCGAGCATGCACTTAGCCAATAAACGCATGAGAAATCGGGCTAAAAAAAGTGGTATTGAGCTTCTGACTCGTTTGAAACAGACCATAATTACAGAGGAGAAGCAGATTAGCACACTGAGGAATAAATTTCTGTAAAGGCGCGCCCATTTCTGGTGGGCTTCGCTCAGCATTAGAGGGACACTAAAGTCAACTATTAAGTCGACATTGATTGTTGAAATGGTGGCCCCAAAACCTCGTAGTGTTACTTTTGTGCCAAGGAAGGGCCTATTTTGAAATAAAATCACGTTTTAGTGGTCCGCATCGGGTTAGCGCACTTCAAGTTACCCGCCTAAAGAAGCGGACCAACCGGACCGTCTCACGTCACTGTTGCCGTGCATAATGTTGCCCGGCTTTACTGCGCTATTGGCAACAGACTGAAAGCAGCGAGAGCCACAGCAGCAACAACAGCCATTGATCCATTTCCCGTCATTGGCTTCGACTGCATTTCTGGCGCTTTGTTTCAACTGCGACTCACTAGATGGCATCACCTGTCCAGTGAAACCACGCGAAAATTGAATCTTTAAAACACTCGCGTCATTCCCCATAATAACGTTCGGCGGTTCTTTTTTCCATGAATCAAACAGAAACGAACAAGCAGCATTTTATTGCGTCTCTTGATGCACAGAAGG